TGGCTTTTTCTTCCACTAAATTGATTTTTTTTTTTTGTTGACAAATTTCCACCCATTTCAACATAGTAATGTTTTCCAATTTCTTTATATTTAAGTCAATGACATGACCACCAATAAACCTATAACTTCTGGAAATAAAAAAGCTGCCACCTATTTAGTAATCCAGGACCCCAAATCAAAATAGAATAATTTTTTTTTTTTTTTTGAGAAAGAATACAATTGTTGTATTTGTTTTTTTTCTTCTAAATAACGCAATCAGATTTGAGTTTTTACACCCAAATATTCATCGAAATATTAAAATGCGGAAGAAAAAAACAACGAAATTAAATAAGTTTAATGATCGAATTAGAGTAGAGTTAAGTGGTGTTTGCTTCACTGGCATCGTCGTCGTGTCCCATAATGAGTGCAGGAGGAACATATCAGGACGTGTAGGCCATAGTGGCATGTTTTGTAATTTAATAAACACAATATGGGCAGATTAGTCATTATCATTAGTAGCTCCGCCACGTGTATTTGTCTGCACCCTCAATCTTCCATGTGCAATATCATTAGGACCCACTTGGTCTCTTCTCTACTGTTAGTCTCTGTCACTCTCACTCTCACCACTCACTTTTCTTTTTTAAGTAAATCTTGTTTTTTTATTGAATATAATTGAACCTTAATTTTATTAATTATGCTTTAGAAAGAGATCATGTGAACTTAAATTGGCAAAATCTAACTAGCTGCTGAAATCTAACGAGTCTATGAGCTGTCTATAATCTCATAATTGAAAACATTTATTTCAATTTTCACCAATTTGGTTTTTAATGTCTTCATCAATGCCACATTTATTGTGTTGGCAATGCAAATTATTGAAATTCGATTATTATTTTATTTTTATTTTGCAGTGAATTCGGATGAATGTCTGATGACTAGGATGCAAGAAATGTCTTTGGATTATCATTTTACCGTCGAACAAGAAGTTGGTTCTTCCACTTACGCCTTCTTTGGATTCAACGGTACTAAACTATCTTAACATCTTTTTGGTTATTACATTTTTTACCGTTTTTAAGATTAATTATATTTATAGTAAATAACCTTACAATACTTATAATATGGTAACATTTTCCGTAAATAAATTGTGTATTTTATCGCGCGTGTTTTTCAAAATGCGTTTGGTTACGATAATTTTAGGGACTGCGGGAATATGGAGAATATCGGCATTAAGCGAAGCGGGTGGTTGGAAAGATAGAACGACCGTGGAAGATATGGATTTGGCCGTTCGAGCTAGTCTCAAGGGTTGGAAATTTTTGTACCTTGGTTCATTGAAGGTAATATAAATTTTCAAAAATGTGTTTATAATAATGTCAGTTAATGGTTGAATATGTAAATAATTATATGGTTTTTTCTTCAAATACTATAGGTTAAAAATGAGTTACCAAGTACATTCAAGGCTTATAGGTATCAGCAACACAGGTGGTCATGTGGTCCAGCTAATCTCTTCAGGAAAATGGCATTCGAAATCATGACCAATAAGGTTTGTTTAACTCTTCTCCCTTCAAACCAAATTGAACCGGCCGGTTATTTCAAATTACGGTTAATACTAAACCGGGA